GGTAACTTACCGTATTAATTTGTACAGTACATAAAGATTTTTTTAGATGTACTTTGTTGCAGTATTTGTAGATGTTAATTTATCTCATGGGCATCAATAACTTTGAAGCCTGGTAAATTCAGAAACTGACTATCCACTAGACTATTTATTTCTTAATTTTATTCCAGGAACGGCTACTTCATTGTTGTTTTGGTCACATCATTACTTGCTAGATTCATATGATTATCTTTCTCTTAATTTACCCTTTATATCATGCCAGAGATGTAGTTTTGATTTAGTTTTTCATGTTGAGAACACAATTAATGTTAATTGATGTGTTATGTGAGGAGTGACTAGAATTGATAACTGAATTAGAGTCAGGGATGCAGGTCAGAGAGTATTTTAGCTAATTAACTCAAAACGTACATATCTGCCTGGCACAGTAAAGGCAAGTGTCAACTGTCACAAAGTTCAATGACTTCCGTCTGTAGTAAACACTTAGGATTATTTTCTCTAAATGCATGACTAATTTGTGCGCCAGTTAACCAAAGGAAATACCAGTATAACGGGAAGCTTTGGCTATGATAGCCGATGTGTGGTGAGCGTTCTGGTACAAAATGGCTGCCGTGCTTCACACTGGTGGGTGCTGCTGCTAAACATCTTTGGTGGATGGGGTATGTCTTGAGTCGAAATGTAACGGTTTCAGTGGCCCGGTTACCCTTACCCTTAGATTGACTCTATGTAATGGTCCTTTTGTTTTGGTTCTCCGATGGTTCGGTTATTATGAATCACATTAATATGTGAATTACCAACTGTGACTTACTTTTTTCGCTCCAGATGTAGAAAGTACATAAAATCCCTACAAAATGGCTGTCTTTCAGAGACCCATACGACCAAAGATACAACCATAAAATGGCTCCTAGTTTTGGCAGCCAATGGCATGATCTGCCATATCTTCCCAGTAGCCAATCACACAACGATGAATAATGATGCCTGTGTCTATATCTGTCTACAGTACACAATACACAGAGTGCTCTAATTGGCTACTGTGAAGGGACATGGGCGCACGGCATTGGCTGGTTTACCTGGGGCAATGTTATGGTAGTGTAGGGTTACTAGGGTGAGCAGTAGAACTGGCACACATGTTTCAGCAACCTCTGGAATGATGTAAAGAGTGTGTGGATATTCTCTTTTCCTCTCACATCGTATTGTACATGTACTACACCTGTAATATCGGTTTGATCGGTCTTTGAGATCTCTTTGTTACCTTAAACTGTTCAATGGAATTCAACAGTAATAGTGCACAGGTTTTCTCCTTCCTTTTCAACATTGTCTTCAGTATATACGTATGTGTAGAAAAACGGCTAGATGTGCATACACTACTCTGATTTGGTCTTTGGGTAACAGCAGAACCCAAACAGCATCACAAGTCCCATTCTCCACCAGTGTAGTGCAACAGTGTGGTGATCTTTATAGATCTCCGTGGTCCATATTGAGTCCGACTCTCCTCCTCCACACTCCCTGTCAACAGAGAGGAGAAAGGAGACGCTGTGTGCTGTTTCACGCTCCCAGACATGATGGGTTGTTCTAGGGGTGCGCGGGGTGACCATCGACCCACACAAATACACCATTATTACCTTTTCCATCAGCCATTCAGGTGTGTCCGTCCTGCACTCAAGGGAGGGGGGAGGGGGCAATTGTTTGCTGAAAACTATAGTTCTCGTTCTGATTCACTCTCATTCTCCTTCCTTTTGACAGAATCTGAGTGTTGGGGTAAATGGGTGCCGTGCGCTGTGCTAAATTTAAGGTGAGAGCCATATCGGTCGCTGGAGACGCACAATGCGAACTCCAATTACCATGTATTCACTATTCACAGTGGCCGAGCCACGGCGCGCAGGCAGCACAGTAATCAGATATCTGCCCAACCGCCAAGGGCCTGGAGCGCCGTGTATGAGAGTGGCAGAGAATGTTGAAGGGCGAGGCTAATGTTACGTTTTTGTATGTGGTGCATTTACGATAGGAGACGAAATGAAGTGGCTGTTTGACTCTTTTTGCAGTGCATTACATGATTTTGCTCTTATCTCTTAGCCGAGTATCTCTCTCTGTCTCTCTGTCTCGGTCTCTCTCAATTCAATTCAATTCAATTTAAGGGCTTTATTGGCATGGGAAACGTATGTTAACATTGCCAAAAGCAATCTTTCTCTCTCCACTCATTACAGGAGGCTCGGAGTAATGTAGACTTGATTTCATATTGTTGTTCACCCTAATGATGCCAAGGCAGTTCATATCCCTCGGTCTTTTGCCAAATAATAGGCATATTTATTTATTCATTCATTTCATTTTTTCATTCTAGCATTGCATTCAGTGTGGTTAATGGTCAGAAACGGGCCCTTACAGTCAGTTAATTCCTTGATGTGATATATCTGACAAGGATCCTCTGCTTAGAGAGGGTTTTGCACATGCAGCCACCGAACGACTCCGTCTTGAATTGCTCTTATTTGTCATGCGGCTTTAATACTGTATAATTTAGTTTGCTAAATTAATTTGCCAGTGAGCTGCTAGTGTCAGTCAAGAGAAAGTGGAAGCTAAATGAGGGAATATTTCCAGCCAAATAGTATGGCTAATGTCAGAGCAGGTTAATTGAATCTTGGGTGGTCTTACGGTAGGTAGACTGACTGAGCGTTTCATGACTATTACACAAACTAAAATGCTTTACGTTTATATTACAGTGGATCCAATTGCTCATCTGATTAGTCACGCATAAATGAGTAGACAGGGGTTATGTAAGACGTGCACACATGCATGCAATTACAGACACGCACGTACGCACACACACACACACACACACCTCCCCTGTTTTACAGCACATTTGAGACCAATAACGAGTTAGAATTGTACAGTAGCAGCCCATTGGTCCATGGCTAAGCTGGGATCATTTGGATGATGGCTGGGTGTGTCAGGGCAGAGTTCAGTTTAATTCATAGTACATGTCTGCAGATCTTTGATGGTCCATCGGTCCATTACGGCCGTCCACAGCTGAGACATTGCCTGAGCTGTGCAGAGAGTTGGAGAAAAGCTGTGGTAAAAGCTTTTTACAGTCAACTGAAGGATGAGGGTCTATGTAGATATTGCCCTTAACCACATATCTAGGATCAGATAACCCAAACCGCTAATACGTTTTACAAGAACATTGTATCGTTTCTTCAATTTATTTTTTACTTTTACCCTTTTTTCTCCCCAATTGGTAGTTACAGTCTTGTCCCATCACTGGAACTCGCCATGCGTCCTCTGAAACGCGACCCTGCCAAGCCGCACCGCTTCTTGACACACTGCTTTTTAACCCGGAAGCCAGCCACACCAATGTGTCGGAGGAAACACCGTCCAGCTGGCGACCGAAGTCAGCATGCAGGCACCCGGCCCACCACAAGGAGTCACTAGAGCACAATGGAACAAGCAAATCCCAGCCGGCCAAACCCTCCCCTAACCCGGACGACGCTGGGCCAATTGTGAGCTGCCTCATGGGTCTCCCGGTCACTGCCGGCTGTGACACAGCCTGGGATCGAACCCGGGTTTGTAGTGACGCCTCAAGCACTGCGATGCAGTGCCTTAGACCGCTGCGCCACTCTGCAGGCCCCCAAGAACGTCTCATCTTTTACAGGGGTACAAGGAGCGTCTTCACTGTTAAAAGGATACAAAAATATCTGACCCTGTATCAGTTGTAAGGGGTTAATTTCTACCTATTCCCAGGGTCTCTCCCTCTCAGATTTGACATTTGTTGCTAGGCAGAAACAGTTGGACCGACCAGGGTCCCGCTTATACACTATTAAGGTATTGTGCTGTTGATGATTTCCTACTGTATAGTGTATTAAAAGTACAGTGCTGTTGATGGTTACCTACTGTATAGTGTATTAAAGGTACAGTGCTGTTGATGGTTACCTACTGTATAGTGTATTAAAGGTACAGTGCTGTTAATGGTTACCTACTGTATAGTGTATTAAAGGTACAGTGCTGTTGATGGTTTCCTACTGTATAGTGTATTAAAGGTACAGTGCTGTTGATGGTTGCCTACTGTATAGTGTATTAAAGGTACAGTAATATAGATTGCCCTCTCTATACACTGTTACAGATTAAATGCTGGTCCCCTGCTGTCTCATACACTCAGTGTCGCCTCATGATGCCTCATTAAAACAATAGAAGAAAAAAAACCTCCTCTAACTCCATCTCTACAGCAGGCCTAGTCCTCTCACTGACTTCACCATAGATCTCAACTATAGGCCTGGTTTGCTCCATGCATATATTTCCTAGATTGCTTCTTCATGTTGCCGAGCGATATTTATGAGATTTTCTTTTTTTAGAGAGGATGACAAATGTGTAGATGTTGTTTTTTCTTTAGTTTTTCTGGCTTGGACAGTGTTGTTTAATTCAGCGAGGTTCAATGAGTTAACGTGCCCAAGGTACGATGGAGGTTGCTCCTGGTAAAATGCCAAAGAAATATGACTAACGATGAAAAATGTATCTTGTTTTCAACGCACATTTATTTTAATTGATTCTACATTTTATTCAGTTCCTTTAGTTGAATTCATAGTAGTATGCAAATGTACACAAGCCACATGTAGTCAAACAAGTGTCTTGTCTTTCATATGAATCCTAACCTTTGATATCAGCTGCATGCGCTTTGAATATTCTTATACCTTCTAGACGGTTCTGCTTATAATCACTCCACTAACTCCTCAGTACAGAACTGTAGAATTTCTGAGCTTGCTTATTTTATTATATATACACACTTTCCCTGCCTATAATACTGACATGTTGATGAAACTGTATGTATTTTCTCTTTTCTGCAATGTAATGAAAGCTATTAAGCCTGGCCAGTAATAATGTTTTTATAATCAGCACATTTCTATTGTTGCCTCTCTACTTCTAATTGATATATTTCTATGATCATATTTCTATAAAAAAGAGAGAGAATTCTCATTCTAAAGCGGAACATGGCATTGTCTTGTTTCTTCTTTATTCTACAGAGATGTTGAAGGAGTTGAACCAACAACGCAGAGCGAAAGACTTTACAGACCTGAAAATAATTGTTGAAGGCAAAGAGTTTGAAGTCCACCAAAATGTTCTAGCTTCCTGCAGCCTTTATTTCAAGGACCTGGTGAAAAGGTTTGCCTTCCCTCCCCTCCCCTCCCCTCCCTCACCAGCTTTTGATCCAATCTGTTCTTTTCATAGGGTGCATTTGTGTGGCTTTTTTTTCCCTCCCCCCTTTTCTCTCTTGCAGGTGTGTGAAGACTTTGGTTCCTATCACAGGGCCAGCAGCCTCCTTCTCCTCCCGCTCCAAATGAATGTATCTCTAAAACCATGGGACAGAAAAGATCACCCTAGTCTTTACCTTTTCCTCGCCATCTAGAGACAAATAACTACAATTACATTTTGATGAGCAGAGAAAACGTTCAATGATTGGGGGATGTTTTAATGACTTAACTGTAGGGGCTTTAAACCAACTGAACATAGGTTACCGTTAGTGCATTAAAAAGATAGGGAAGCTTCAGAGTTGCAAACAAAGCACAAAACAAACAGAGGCACATCTCTCACCACCATGCTACTCTTTACCCAACCACTATTTTCACAGGTTAACGCCATTCTCCATTAATGTTTTCATTTGATAGTGGATCTGAGTATTCCCCATTACTCTATTCCTCACATGTCTCTGGGCTGTTTTGGTTCTATATTGTGTGGGTGCGTGCGTGCAAGTGAGTGTGTGTATGATGATGTGATTGGCAGTTTACCTGCCAGTGCTAGTATGTGTTCCTTGGTTGTTGTGTTTGCAAAATGTGTTTGTGTGAGTGAGTAGGTGTGTGTTTATTTTCTTCAAGCTAAGCCAAAGCCATCTCCTAGCGTCCTCACCCTGACTTCAGATTCTTGCAGGTGTCCCAGAACCAATGTTCTCTCGTCTCCTTGACATGTGTGTTTGTTCTCCTGTACACCGCGCACAGACAGACCGACAAAGACTGTAGAGAGAGAGAGAGAGAGAGAGAGAGAAGACTGTACATTACAATAGGAAGCTCTAGTCTAAAGTCTGGGGGAGGCTGCCTGCTAGTTGCCCTGCAGCCATGCTGGCTCTATTGTGAGATCATCAGAGGGCGCCACGCTGCTTATCAGACATAGAGGCGAGCCAGCCAGGAGATGCTTTGTGTGTGTCACTCACACGAGCATGCCCAACACACAGGCCAGAAGAACACACTCTCTCACATACACACACACACAATTGTTCTTGCTGAATGGGGACGCGTACTGAGATAATAGTGAGCACCAGCCCTCTCCCAACCACACCCCACTCATATTCACACATATAGTACATCACATCTACACGGCACACAACTTTCAGTTTGCTACAGACAGACTTGTGTTGGTGGAGCTGTCGATAGGATTCCCCTGTTTCTCTCCCTTATCTGAGCCAGAGTTAGTTTGCTGCATAGAGAGTTAGATCCTGCACAGAGAGAAATACTGGAGTGAGTTAGGTTCTGCATAGAGAATAGAGGTAGGTTCTGATTAGAAACAAGGTCCCCAGAAAGACACAAAGTCCCCATAGGAATGGAAATAATTTGTGTCTGGTTACAAATGTATGCACTCACTAACTGTAAGTCGCTCTAGATAACAGCGTCTGTTAAATGACGAAAATGTAAAAATGGTTACGTTCATCTGACTGCCTGCCTGCATACATTCTGATATTGTACTTGCTTAATTTGGCTGCTTGATAGAGAAAATTCTCATTAAGTGTATAATTAATTGTAAAACGACCTTAATTTATCATCCTAACGTGGGCCTTTCTCATCTAGATTAAATCAAAAATAGAATTTCTAATTTAACCGTACAGTTAGTGGTATATTCCATGAATATGTATGTTATACTAATCAGTAATTGTATAAATTGCATAATCGTATAATTATTAATCGTATAAGTTGTCAACCTTTTTGACATGATAAAGTTGTTATAATTCATCACGGCATGTACAGTACAGTACAAATAGAACAATAAATGCTCTTGACTTTATAAGGCACGTGGGACCTCTCCGGTTTTATTGGCGTGTTTACTGTCAAACACAACACTGAGAGAGCGAGAGGGAGGGCGGGAGACTGAGAAAAAGCTGTGCCATTTTTGCCTTGGCTCTCTTAGGTGTTGTGCAGTCAGGTAGGGTGTCACTGAGTTGGTTAAAGAGACAGAGAGAAACCAGAGAGAGACAGTGACAGAGAGAGAGAGAGAGAGAGAGAGCGAGAGAGAGAGAGAGAGAAGAGAAGGTCCCAGCCAAGGGTCCTGTCATTGAGTTACGGCCTCTCTGTGCCATTCAGGTCACTCTCCAGCGCCTGTGGAATTATGCTGATGCCACACATGGCCCCACACCGTGTCCAGATTTTTATGAGGTCGAATGAAAGAGAGAAACGCACTCTTCACGCTCTCCCTGTGCTGCCCACTACCCCCATGCCATCGAGGTACTCACTGCTGTCGGGACTCCCTGTCAGTGCCTCATAAACTACCACAGCATGTGTGTGTGTGTGTGCATATGCACGTGCATTTGCGTGTGTCCGTGTCCATGTCCGTGTGTGTCCGTGTCCGTGTGTGTGTGTGTGTGTGGGGGGGGGGTGAGCGGGAGGCGCAGGCCTATAACTCTCCGGTGTTATCCAGACAGCCAGCGTTCACTCAGAGAGAGAGTAGAGATGGAACAGAGGTTGAGCGCCGCTGCATATTTGTGCTGATCTCCACACACACACACACACACACACACACACACACACACACACACAATAAATGAAAGTCTAAATTGGAACATATGTCCAGCTGGCGCTCCGTGAAGTGGCTAAGTAATGATTAAATTCTTGTTTACATTCAGGAAAGTCATTTTCATTTAGTAGGTTATGGTGTTTACTTTTAAGCAGTAGTTAAGTAAATTGCAGAACATTAAGGCACCATCTCGTTAGAAAATGGTTTTGAAATATAATTTTTTAAATGATTATATTTTAATCATTAAAGCTACAGTATTTGAGTTTGAGTGAGATTGGGTTTCTGGGTAACACTTTATTTGGATAGATGCTCTTCAGACTATCTACTAACCCTAACCCAGGCTCGAACCCTAACCGTAACCTTTAACATGACCCTAAACTTAACCCTTACCCTAACCCTTATTTTAAACCTAACCCTAACCTTACCTACAGATGGAAAATCCGGACGATCCAAATAAAATGTGACCGTTTTCTGTATCATACCCAGGATGTAGGCCTAGCTATTTCCGGTTAGCAGCATTTTAAAATATTCATAATATTTAAATTGGTGTCGATATTTGATGTATGTTATAAAAAGCTAATTTATAGTCAGTTTGCTGAAAGGATCAGTAAAATTAGATTATGATAGATGAGTAGCAATTAATGATTGTGCAAAATGATCACTAATGGCGGTAAAGATTAAACCACGACAGATGTTAAAAATGTCCATGCAGTTTAACTGCTGATATATATCCGCAATCTCATCCATTTTATGTAAATCATAAAAATCTGCCTTCTTTGTTAAATTTCCCATCCTTGTAGACTATAGTATTGTATTTCGATAAAATCTTAAAGAAACTCTATATCCTCCCTCCCTCGCTCTCTGTGTAAAGTACAAGCCTGAAGTACAAGCCTGCAGAGTTGATGTATCTCCCTCCTCTTTCGCATTAAACTTGTCAAAAATGTCCAGTCGTCGCGACCCTGCTACCTGAAGGATGTAACACACCCGGCACTCACCCACCAAAAACCTATTACCTCCCCCTTTAAAGGCTGCTGCTGCTCAGCCCAGAAAGACCACACACACACACACACACACACACACACACAGACCAACGGTCACCCCCAGTAATTCCATTTTCCCCCTCTGGAGTTTCAATAAGTATGCTCTGCACCCCCTTAATTTATGGGCACAGTGCATCTGGTGCAGCTCAATGGCAGGGCCTAATGTAAAGGCACACACTCTCTGAGCAGTCTTGACACACTAGAACTTTGTTCAATTTCTTGCCTTTTTTTCTCTCTCTCTCTTTCTGTTTTCATATGATTCTGACTAAAGCTGTGACAATACCATTATCGCAATATTTTTTCCATGCCAAAAAAAGAAAACATGAAGCAGACCTAACTCTTTGGTCCCATAAAAACCTTCTGTATGTAAGGTATTGTGTGCTATAGCTTGGAAAATAAATATACTGAACAAAAATATAAACGCAAACATGCAACAATTTCAAAGATTTTTCTGAGTTACAGTTCATATAAGGAAATCAGTCAATTTAAATAAATTCATTAGGCCCTAATCTATTGATTTCACATGACTGGGCAGGGGCACAGCCATGGGTCGGCCTGGGGGGGGCATAGACCTACCCACTTGGGAGCCAGGCCCACCCAATGGGGAGCCAGGCCCAGCCAATCAGAATGTTGTTGTTTTTCCCACAAAAGGGCTTTATTACAGACATATATACTCCTCTGAACCCCACCCCCCAGCCCCTCAGACGATCCTGCAGGTGAAGAAGCTGGATGTGTAGGTCCTGGGCTGGCGTGGTTACACATGGTCTGCGGTTGTGAGGCCGGTTGGACGTACTGCCAAATTCTCTAAAATGACGTTGGAGGTGGCTTATGGTAGAGAAATAAACATTGAATTCTCTGGCAACAGCTCTGGTGGACATTCCTGCAGCCATCATGACAATTGCAGCTCCCTCAAAACTTGAAACATCTGTGGCATTGTGTTGTGTGTCAAAACTGCACATTTTAGAGTGGCCTTTTATTCTCCCCAGCACAAGGTGCACCTGTGTAATGATCAATGTAATCAGCTTCTTGATATGCCAAACCTGTCAGGTGGATGGATTATCTTGACAAAGGCTAAAATGCTCACTAACAGGGATGTAAACAAATTTGTGCACAACATTTGAGATAAGCTTTTTGTGTGAATAGAACATTTCTTGGATCTTTTATTTCAGCTCATAAAACATGGGACCAACACTTTACATGTTGCGTTGGTATTTTTGTTCAGTGTAAATGTGACTCCAACATTAGAGCTGTTTTCCTAAAGAAATGTAATCCGCTTTGTGTTTTGTATCGCGATACTCGTATCATCCCGGCCCTAAATCTGACTGAGCCCAGGCATAGTCTGTTATGAATAGGAGAGGAGAAAGTGATACTAAAGCTTTTAGTCTTCCTTGTCAACATGTGCTCTCTGGGTGGTAGAATCCTCCAGCTGAGATTCCAGCTAGCTCTTACTGTTCCCCTACTACTGTCCTGTCAGTTAGACAGTATGCATTACCATCTACCCAGCAGGCAAAACTGAAATACATTGAAATAACATAATTACAACCAGTTTACAAGCAGAATTACGTCATTTCAACCAGCTTTGCCGGCTGGGTCTGAATCACTGTACTGTAAGCCATATATATAGTCACAGCAGTGGATAGCATAAACAAACCTAGACTCTGTTCTGAAAGATCCTCAGATGAGTGTCGACAAGTCTGAACAAGACTTCTATCCTTCCCAACCTCTGTCTCTATAGAAGCACTAGCCATAATAATGATAATAGTCCAAAATCATAATACATTTAAATGTTAGTCATTTAGCAGACGCTTTATCCAGAGCGACTTACAGTTAGTGAGTGCATACATTTTCATACTACTTTGCTTTTGTCCAAAGCAACTGGCTTTAAAAAATATTTTTCACTTTTATTCTTTCATATAGCATTTACTCCCCTCAATGCTTTGCGCTTAAGACCAAAAACAGCAGTGTGTCCACAGGGTTGGAGAGTACCGGATTAGTAATCTGATTGCAAAAACACTATAATCAGTTATGTTACCGGCTAAAATATTGTAATCAGATTACAGATACTTTTAAAAATCTAAATGATTACTTCTTGGATTACATTTAAATTCAGAAAGGATGTTTGCAAAAAAATGCATTGACACCTTTCTGTTTTCTCAATAACATTCAAATTCAGCATTAAAAAAGGTTTAAGTTTGTTCCACCTGAGCGAGACTGACCACAAGTCAGAGACCACTATGAAGACCCACTATGAAGACCCACTATGAAGACCCACTATGAAGACCCACTATGAAGACCCACTATGAAGATGGATCCTTTTGGTCTTCTTCTAATGCCTCTTAAGGGGAAAGTAATCCAAAAGTAAGAGAGTAGTCCGATTACGTTACTGATTACAATTTTGGACAGGTAATTAATAACTTTAATGGATTACATTTAGAGTAATCTGTCCAGCTCAGGATATGATTCTGAACCACAGTGCCCACAATGTCATGGGTTAATTAACCTAACTACTAGCTGTGTCACTCTGCGGCCGCTCAAAACACACTCATGATACCAGTGTACGTGCTGGGTCTCCTTGTGTGGCTCAGGCTTGTTACTGTACTTGTTAACTTCAGGGGGGGTGTCTGAAGTGGACTCTTCTCATCTCATTTCCTTCATCTGCAATCATCTGAAAACATATTGTTGGACAGGGGATAGCAATGTAGTGGATGCCCAGGTATTTGCTTGGAGAGGAAGCCACTTTTGACTATTGAGATGCAGCCATGGACCCATTGCTGTCACTCTGCACACCTGGACGTGTCTCAATAAAGACACAATAGCTAACCCACCTCACCCTTAGTCATGAATGTAGCCTCAAAAAGCCTCCAATACAAACAAACAAGCACAAACTAAACTCTAATTACATCATTTTTGTTGGTGACAGAATAAGCAAACAAGTAACATTTAGTCTCACACAAAAGTGTATATTTTGGATGAGCTTGGATTCCTTTGAGCACACAGAGTAAAATGTCTGCGGGAATCAGGGCATTTCTCCAGCTGAAATTTGAGAAAACATGGTGAAGAAGATAGTCCTTTTACAGAAGGACACATTAGAAACCCATGTATGACACAACCCCTTTTTCTGCTCCCCCTTTCTGACAGTCTATGCTGAATGAAATACTCTTTCCCCGGAAAAGAGTGGTGCGTTTTTCATAAACAGATTCCTCTCTCAATTTCTCCCTCTTGTTTTACTCTCCTTGCTCTCTCCCTTTCTATCCCTCTTTTACATAAAAAAACAAAACAAGTCTGCAATCAGATGCAGCAGTATAAACAGCCACCTCTGTGAGAAGAGGTGGAAAGACCATTTCCATAACAAAAACACTCAGGCAAAACAAATTGTCACTCGAGCCGATTCCCATTGCACTAATTGACCTGGTTGATGAGCATGCTCTTGTTTTATATTTTTCTTTTATTTCCTTTTTCTTCTTCTTCCTCCCTTCCCCACCATCGCTTAACCCTGGACTACACCCCCAACCTTCCCCCTCCTCCTCCCCCTTTTTATCTAGCTTTAGTACCGCCACAGCATAGGGCGGGAAGGCAATAACATAACAACTCTATGGCTTTTTGCTTTGCAGGAGGAAAATAATAACTGTCTTGGTCTTTCCAGCCTCCCTATGTCCATCTATGCAGAGACAGATCCCCATTGTCTATTTATTTTTGCGTTGTCCTTCTCCTCCCCTTCTCTCACCTCCTAAGATGGCTCAATGACCACTAATGTCAACTACGTTCATATACAGGCTACTGGTGAATGTGGCAGCAAGCTGGGGACAGAGGCTTGGGGGCTTTGGGTTTAGGTGTGGTGTGGGGCAGAGGGGGGGGGGGGGGGGGGGTCTCTTATTTGAAAGACCCAGGAACAGTCATGGAACATGGAACCCCCCCCCCCCCCCCCCCCCCCAACCCCACCTAATCCCCCCCAACTCCCCTCTGAAAGATGGCTGCTGGTCCCTGTGGATGAACCAACCCTCTTCCTCTCGTCCCCCCTCTCTCTTTCACTCTCTCTCCCCCTCCTTTGTCTTCACTCTAACCATCCTGTCCATATGTCTGTCTGTCTGTCTGTGTCCGTCTGTCTGCATCCTGCATCAAAACTGTGTCTGACTGTATGCTCTGTAAAAGCTATTTAATTGAATCTCACACCAACCCAGTAGGAGACAGTAACATTTGAAACAGACAGACACTGAGCATTATGCAGTGTAGCCAGTCGATATGAGCAACAGAAGGAGAATACATCCCATCCATCTCAATCCTTGGTAGTTTTCATATTGTTTATGTCCACAGCCCTCGGGGGAAGGACACAGTATCTCACACTGCATTCTGGGGCATTGATTCTGTTTATTTTGCCCTTGACTAGATTATGTTATGTCACATGGGACATTAAGGCGTAGAGTTAGAACACTTCAACTAATTACTGATCCTGATGATGTCACAATGCAGGCGGACTCTAACGCAACCAATCGCCATGAGGCTGGGAGGACTACATTAGCTAGAGATATCTCACCCAGCACAACAGTATATGGCTATATGAATCTGATTTGTAGCATTGCTATACAGCACACATGATAGTCATACAGTATTAATAATAATAATATATTTATTTTATATAGGGCTTTTCATTTTCAAAACAGAATCTCAAAGTCGCTTTAAAAAACAAACACAAAAACAAATCAAATTATCTGGCAGATTCTTGGGAGGTTGGCTTCAAGATTGTATATGGGGCGCAACAGTAGGCTAGCATTCAGACATACCACAGCTAACATAGCTTGAGGTCCTCCATTACAATAACATTGAGATATCAGACAGCTAACATACCTAGTGTTCTTCCAATCTGTCAGTGCATGTGTGGTTTTATCACCCCCTCCCCTCTCTCTGTCATCTGTCTGCCATTATCATGTATGCATCTTCTTGAATATCTATGCATACATGAGAACACACATGTCAAAGCATGCCTTTTGGATATTAATTTGCCATGATAAAGACAAACAAATTACTTGTGCTTTCCTAATCCTTGTTTTGAGAGAACTGTTTTGTTTCAGATGGAGCACAAACAACCATAACTGTGTACTGTTACAAACCCTAGTTGCTTACTGTAAAAACAATAGAGCCCAAAAAGAAATGATCTACCTTTCTACTTTACTTTGTATTCTATTGTATTGATTCTGCTATTTTTCCCTTGTTTTGTAAAGACCCAGGTTGTGTGCGTGCGTGTGCGAGCGTATGTGTGTGTATCTGTGTGTAGCTCTAGTCCTAGGGGTGTGTATGTGTGTGTGTGCGTCTCTTCGGTGTCTAACTCCTGTCTCTACTGTGGTTGGTCAGGTCGTCAGGGGAGATGAGGAGTGGGGAGAAGCTAGAGCTGCAGATGAGCAATATTGGAGCTGATGTGTTGGAGCTGCTGCTGGAGTTTGTCTACACGGGCTCTCTGGTCATAGACTCAGCAAACGCCAAGACACTGCTAGAGGCCGCCAACAAGTTCCAATTCAACACCTTCTGCAAAGTCGGTGTGTCCTTCCTAGGTATGTACCTATGACATAGGGTGTGGGGTGTGGGGGGATGTGGGTAAGTAGGTGTCTCATCACATTAAGCCTAAGCTTCTGTCTTTGGCACATTGTCCCTCGCACCCTTTCTGAATGTTGTCCAAATTTAGCGTGAGTTCCTCCCGGAGTAAAAGAGAGAAACATCATTTTGCTCCCTAACACCCAGCGCTTGGCTCAGCACCTCTCTTTGTCTCTCTCTGTCTGTCTCTGCCTCTCAGTCTGTCTCTCTGTCTGTCTCTGCCTCTCAGTCTGTCTCTCGGTCTGTCTCTGTCTCTCTCTCCTCTGCCCTCAGGAGTTGGGAGGCACCAGGACAAAAGGTCAGGGAACAATTGTCACTTATATGTCAAATCCTCCGGCGCAAGCTATGATAGAACCCACAGATAGTCCCAGGGGTCAACTGAGGAGCAAATGTGTAGTCATGGATTTAGGAGGTCAAGGGACTGGGAGACAGTAAATGTCAGATTATACCTACCATTTAATAGAGATGGTTGGAGAGATGTGGAGAGAGCTGTAAGGCAAGGATATGATGTCTGGCTCTGGGATGAAAAAGGTCAGAGCAGTAAAAGGAGGGGAAGACAGTGAAAATAAATATTGATTTGTTTTTCATGTTTCATCCGACGATATGGACTTGTGAATAACAGGGAAACCATTTGTAGTGTAGTCAAAGACGTTATCACCATCAGAATGTCAGTCTATTCTGCCTGAACATGATTCATGACATTTGAGCATGTTAGAATAGAGACATATAATACTGGTGCAGTGTATAACCTTGGAACAAAGAAATTGATCTAATGTCAGGGATATTGAAGTTCTTAACAAACTAAAAGATGTGGAAGAAATTAACTTGGCCTAGTTTGGCCATGGTGCATTGAGTTTATCAGATGTTTTATTGTGACAAAAACACACCTCAATACACCCGGGTGACTTATAACATATTATTTTGTCCATCATATTAGAACAACATCAAGTCACAAGAAATAAAACGTGGGAGGATTTACAGCCGGCGGCTATGGAACCTTCCAGAGCCTGGAATAAAACTCCTTTATTCACCATGTCTGCAATCTGCTCCACTGAGTTTCTGAGATATAGCACACCATGCAACACACACACACACACACACACACACACACACACACACACACACACACACACACACACACACCATATAATAACAGATGGTTACTGCACAGACTCCTCACACCCATGAAAATGAACCTGAATGAATGGTACCTGTGGAATCAATTAAGGTCAAACCAAATAAGAATACCAAACACATTTCAACCTTGTTTAATATTGATTAGATATAGAGACATCTCTGTAAAGGTATTGATTGGTCTAGCTCTAGTTATTAGTACACATTCTCACACCCCTTGAGACCTCTCTCTCTCAGAAACAGTAAAAACACATCTGCTCAATCAAACTCCACATTAACAGACTACAGTTATATTAGTTTCAGAAGGCTTTGTTTTCCTATTCAGTTTCAACACACTGAGTTAACTTTAGACTTTAACAGACACCTTTCCTGGTGATATTTGTATAGGCAGCAGGTACACACACACACACACACACACACACACACACACACACACACACATTGCCTTCAGAAAGTATTCACACACCTTTACTTTTTCTGCATTTTGTTGTGTTACAGCCTGAATTTAAAATGGATTACATTTAGATATTTTGTCACTGACCTGCACACAATACCATTTTTATTTTATTTTACAAATGTATAACAAATGAAAAGCTGAAATGGCTTGAGTCAATAAGTATTCAACCCCTTTATTAAGGCAAGCCTAAATAAGTTCAGGAGTAAAACTTAGCTTAACAAGTCACATAATAAGTTGCATGGACTCACTCTGTGTGCAATAATAGTGTTTAACATGATTTTGGAATGACTACCTCATCTCTATACCCCACACATACAATTATCAGTAAGGTCCCTCAGTCGAGCGGTGAATTTCAAACACAGATTCAACCACAAAGACCAGGGAGGTTTTCCAATGCCTCATAAAGAAGGGTACCTATTGGTAGATGGGTAAAAAATCTGACTTTAAATATCCCTTTGAGCAGGGTGAAGTTATTAATTAAACTTTGGATGGTGTATCAATACACCTACTCACTACAAAGATACAGGCATCCTTCCTAACTCAGTTTCCGGAGAGGAAGGAAACCCCTCAGATTTCACCATGAAGCCAATGGTGAATTTAAAACAGTTACAGAGTTTAATGGCTGTGATAAGAGAAAACTGAGGATGGATCAACAACATTGCACTTACTCCACAATACTAACCTAATTGACAGAGTGAAAAAAAGGAAGCCTGTACAGAATAAATATATTCCAAAACATGCATCCTGTTTTTCAACAAGGCTCTAAAGTAATACTGCAAAACATTTGGCAAAACAATAAAAATTGTATCCTGGATACAAGGTGTTCTGTTTGGGGCAAATCCAATACAACACATGACTGAGTACCACTCTCCATATGTTCAATTTAGTGGTGGCTGTATCATATTATGGGTACGCTTGTCATTGTTAAGGACTGGGCAGTTTTTCAGGATAAAAAAGAAATGGAATGGAACTAAGCACAGGCAAAATCCTAGAGGAAAACTTGGTTCAGTCTGCTTCCCACCAGGCACTGGGATATGAATTCACCTTTCAGCAGGACAATAACCTAAAACACCAGACCAAATCTACACTGGAATTGCTTACCAAGAAGACAGTGAATGTTCCTGAGTGACCGCATTACAGTTTTGACTTAAATCTACTTGAAAACCTATGGCAAGACCTGAAAATGGTTGTCTAGCAATTTGTCATTATGGGGTATTGTGTGTAGATGGGTGAGAAGATGGGAGATCTGGTGGTGGTTGGTACCAATGTTTCATTTGATCAGGCCTCTCACTGTGGCCCCAGTCCGGCGATATGGACTTGTGAAAAACAGGGAAATCATTTGTAGTGTAGTCAGAGACTTCATCAGAATGTCAGTCTATTCTGCCTGAACATGATTCATGACATTTGAGCATGTTAGAATAGAGACATATAATACTGGTGCAGTGTATAACCTTGGAACAAAGACATTTATATAATGTCAGAGATATTGAAGTTCGTAACAAATGTACTGAAGAGATGTGGAAGAAATTAACTTGGCCTAGTTTGGCCATGGTGCATTGAGTTTATCAGATTTTTTAGTGTGACAAAACACACCTCAATACACCCGGGTGACTTATAACATATTATTTTGTCCATCATATTAGAACAACATCAAGTCACAAGAAATGAAACAAGTGGGAGGATTTACAGCCGGCGGCTATGGAACCTTCCAGAGCCTGGAATAAAACTCCTTTATTCACCATGTCTGCAATCTGCTCCACTGAGTTTCTGAGATATAGCACACCATGCAACACACACACACACACACACACACACACACACACACACACACACACACACACACACACACACACACACACACACACACACACACACACACACACACACACACAAACACACACACACACACACACACACACACACACACACCATATAATAACAGATGGATACTGCACAGACTCTCCTCACACCCACACAAATGAACCTGAATGAATGGTACCTGTGGAATCAATTAAGATCAAACCAAATAAGAATCTTATCCAGAGCGACTTACAGTTATTGAGTACATACATATTTTTTCTCATCAGTAATAAGGTCCTCAATCAGCTTTCTGAATTGCCCTAGAGGCACCAGAACATCACATTTAAGAACATTTTGAAGATTGTTCCACAAATAAGGTGCAAGAAAACTAAAAGCTGATTTACCTAATTCAGTAATGACCAAAGGAATTTCAAGAGTTAGTCATCCCTGAGACTGGGTGTGGTAACTTGTATGTCTAAAGCTTAGTAATGACGTTCAGTACAGTAGGACTTTTTGTAAAAGGGCTTTATAAATGAAAACTTAGCAATGTATCAACCTACGTGACATCAAAGAGGACCAACAAACTTTCTGGTAGAGAATGCAGTGATGAGTACTACAATTGTCGCCTGTAATAAAGGTCAGTTCGCAATGAGAAACTGCATCTAATGGCTTTAATGAAGTGGCATACACACACACACATACCTACATACTGCTCTGTGCTTATAGATGGGAGATCTGGTGGTGGTCAGTACCAATGTCTCATTTGATCAGGCCTCTCACTGTGGGCCCCAGCCCAGGGCTTTGTGTGTGCGTGTTTATGTGTTTCTGTATGTGTGTGTGTGTGTGTGTGTGTGTGAAAGGTATTTACCTGCTGTACTAATCCCTGCTATGCCTTCCCAGTCTCCTGGCCCTGCTCAGTGGGCTCCTAGCGATCGATTCCCCTTGTTGTTTGTCCCTGGAGCTGTTAGAGTTATTACACTCTCTCCCCAGCCCCAGATATACACACAGATAGACCACAGCTCTCCCCTCTCCACCCCCCCCCCCCCCCCCTTACTTTTTAATGGATGTATGAATGACAATCTCTCTCTCCATCTCTCCCCGTTTTTCCTCTCTCTCTCCCCCTCTCCTCTCTCTCTTTCTCTCACCCTCTCCTCTCTCTCTCCCCTCTGCTTTCCCCACCTTTTCTCTCTCTCTCTCTCCTCTCTCTCTGCAGAGAAACAGCTAACGGCAGGGAACTGTCTAGGTGTGCTGGGCATGGCTGAGGCGATGAGATGTACAGAGCTCCACAACATGGCCAAAGCCTTTGCACTCCAGAACTTCCCTGAGGTAGGTGAATGTACTGAATGAACAGATCGATGGATGGGTGGATGGATAACTGCATTAATGAATACATGCATGAATAAATGCATACATGCATGAATGAATTTATAAGATGTTCATAAAAAATACCACATATGATAAAAACAGTGCATGTACCCCAGGATGTTTATCCCAATCAAGTTTCAACCCTTTGTGCTCTAGGCAGCCGGTCAGGAGGAGATTCTGAATGTATCTAAGGAGGACCTGGTGGCCTACTTGTCTAATGACAGCCTCAATACCAAGACTGAGGAACTGGTCTACGAGACCGCCATCAAGTGGATCAAACGAGACCCCACCTCCAGAGTACAGGTAAGGCAGGGAGGAGAGAGAGGGGGGTGGGAGGGAGTGGTTCAAATCAAATGTTATTTCTCACATGCGCCGAATACAACAGGTGTAGACTTTAGCGTGAAATGCTTACTTACTAGATCTTTCCCAACGATGCAGAGTTAAAAAGTAAGAACATTTGCAAATAAAAATTGAAAATAGTAACACAATAAATACTAATAACGAGGAGTACTAGTACCGAGTCAATGTACAGGGGTACGAGGTAGTTGAGGCAATAGGGACATGTTGGTAGGGGTAAAAGTGACTAGGCAATCAGGATAGATAATAAACAGAGTAGCAGCAGCATATGTGAAGATTGTGAAAGTGTGTGTGGCATTATTTTTATTGTTGGACTGTAAAAACACCAGCAAATCAGCTCCAAGTGATTTTAATTTGGAAATCTGTTACAAAGAATTCCCACACATAAGAGAGAGATATGTGATCGTATACAAATGTAAGCAAGGTTTGAAATTATTATGTTTTAGTTCAACGTTATATCTGTTGGGGCTTCTTGCGGTCACTTTGCAGTCTATCCATTCAAGAAAATATCGGTCCGCGGCTGAATCTAGTTGATGATCCGTGGTCTATGGCTTGGGTGGCTGGGGTCTTTTTTTCTTGTCCTTGCTCTGACACCGCCTGGTATAGAGTTTCTGGATGGCAGGGAGCTCGGCCCCAGTTATGTACTGGGCTGTCCGCACCACCATCTGTAGCGCCTTGCGGTCGGGTGCCAAGCAGTTGCCATACCAAGCGGTGAGGCAGCCAGTCAATATGCTCTCAATGGTGCAGCTGTAGAACTTTGAGGATCTGAGGGCCCATGCCAAATCTTTTCAGCCTCCTGAGGGGGAAGAGGCATTGTCGTGCCATCTTCACGACTTTGTTGGTGTGTTTGGACGCAGAGGAACTTGAAGCTCTCGATCCGCTTTACTACAGCCCCATCGATGTGAATGGGGGGGTGCTCGGTGCTCCATTTCCTGTAGTCCACAATCAGCTCCTTTGTCTTGCTGACGTTGAGGAAGAGGTTTTTGTCCTGGCACCACACTGCCAGGTCACTGACCTCCTCCCTATAGGCTGTCTCATCATCATCTGTGATCAGGCCTACCACCGTCGTGTCATCAGCAAACGTAATGATTATGTTGGAGTTGTGCGTGGCCACGCAGTAGTGGGTGAACAGGGAGTACAGGAAGGTACTAAGCACACACCTCTGAGGGGCCCCTGTGTTGAGGGTCAGCGTGGCGGATGTGTTGATACCCTCAACACCTGGGCCCGCCAGGAAGTCCAGGGTCCAGTTGCAGAGAGAAGTGTTTAGTCCCAGGGTCCTGAGCTTGGGGGGCACTATGGTGTTGAACGCTGAGCTGTAGTCAATGAACAGCATTCTCACATACATGTTCCTATTATCCAGATGGGAGAGGGCAGTGTGGAGTGCAATAGAGAGCGTCATCTGTGGATCTGTTGTGGCGGTATGCGAATTGGAGTGGGTCTAGGGTGTCTGGGATGATGGTGTTGATGTGAGCCATGACCAGCCTTTCAAAGCATTTCATGGCTACAGATGTGAGTGCTAGGGCGCAATATTTATTTAGACAAGTTACCTTGGTGTTCTTGGGCACAGTGACTATGGTGGTTTGCTTGAAGCATGTAGGTATTAGACTGGACCAGGGAGAGGTTGAAAATGTCAGTGAAGACACTTGCCAGCTGGTCAGCGCATGCTCTGAGTACGCTTCCTGGTAATCCGTCTGGCCCCACAGCCTTATGAATGTTAACCTGTTTAAAGGTCTTGCTCACATCGCCTACGGAGAGCGAGATCACACAGTCGTCCGGAACAGCTGGTGCTCTCATATTGGATTTTGTGTTAAATGCTCTACAACAAAGCTTTCTTAGTGTCCAACAAGCTTTCTCCTTGTTCTGAACACCTCCAAAACAAAGGTAATGTGGTTTGGTAAGAAGAATGCCCCTCTCCCCATCGGTGTGATTACTACCTCTGAGGGTTTAGTGCTTGAGGTAGTCACCTCATACAAGTACTTGGGAGTATGGCTAGATGGTACACTGTCCTTCTCTCAGCACATATCAAAGCTGCAGGCTAAGGTTAAATCTAGACTTGGTTTCCTGTATCATAATCGCTCCTCTTTCACCCCAGCTGCCAAACTAACCCTGATTCAGATGACCATCCTACCCATGCTAGATTACGGAGATGTAATTTATAGATCGGCAGGTAAGGGTGCTCTCGAGCGGCTAGATGTTCTTTACCATTTGGCCATAAGATTTGCCACCAATGCTCTTTATAGGACACATCACTACACTCTATAGTCCTCTGTAAACTGGTCATCTCTGTATACCCGTCGCAAGACCCACTGTTTGATGCTTATTTATAAAACCCTCTTAGGCCTCACTCCCCCGTATCTGAGATACCTACTGCAGCCCTCATCCTCCACATACAACATCCGTTCTGCCAGTCACATTCTATTAAAGGACCCCAAAGCACACACATGCTTGGGTCGCTCCTCTGTTCAGTTCGCTGCAGCTAGCGACTGGAACGAGCTGCAAAAAACACTCAAACTGGACAGTTTTATCTCCATCTCTTAATTCAAAGACTCAATCATGGACACTCTTACTGACAGTTGTGGCTGCTTCGCGTGATGTATTGTTGTCTCTACCATCTTGCCTTTGTGCTGTTGTCTGTGCCCAATAATGTTTGTACCATGTTTTGTGCTGCTACCATGTTGTGCTGCTGCCATGTTGTGTTGTCATGTGTTGCTGCCATGCTATGTTGTTGTCTTAGGTCTCTCTTTATGTAGTGTTGTGGTGTCTCTCTTGTCGTGATGCGTGTTTTGTCCTATATATTTATTTTTAATCCCAGCCCCCGTTCCCGCTGGAGGCCTTTTGTCTTTTGGTAGGCCGTCATTGTAAATAAGAATTTGTTCTTAACTGACTTGCCTAGTTAAAGAAAGGCTAAATAAAAAAAGATGCATGGTTCAGTGTTGCTTGCCTCAAACCAAGCATAGAAGGTGTTTAGCTCGTCTGGTAGCTCACGGCTGGGTTTCCCTTTGTAATCTGCGATAGTTTGCAAGCCCTGCCACATCCGACCAGCGTCAGAGTAGGATTCGATCTTAGTCCTGTATTGACGCTTTGCCTGTTTGATGGCTCGTCGGAGGTCGTAGCGGGATTTCTTATAAGCGTCCGGAATAGTGTCTCTCTCCTTGAAAGCGGCAGCTCTAGCCTTTAGCTCAGTGCAGATATTGCCTGTAATCCATGGCTTCTGGTTGGGATATGTACATACGGTCACAGTGGGGACGACGTTGTCGATGCACTTATTAATGAAGCCGGTGACTGATGTGGTAAACTCAATGCCATCAGATGAATCCCAGAACATATTCCAATCTGTGCTAGCGAAACAGTCCTGTAGTTTAGCTTCCGCTTCATCGGACCACTTCCGTATTGAGCACTTCACTGGTACTTCCTGTTTGAGTTTTTGCTTGTAAGCAGGAATTAGGAGGATAAAGTTATGGTCAGATTTGCCAAAGGGAGGGCGGGGAAGAGTTTTGTATGTGTTTGTGTGTGGTCTGGAGTTTTGTCGCCTCTGGTTGCACAGGTGACATGCTGGTAAAAAGTCTGTAAAACGGATTTCAGTTTCACTGCATTAAAATCACCAGCCACTAGGAGCGCTGCCTCTGGATGTGTCTTTTCTTGTTTGCTTATGACCCTCTACAGCTCGTTGAGTGTAGTCTTAATGCCAGCATCAGTTTGTGGTGATAAATAGACAGCTACAAAAAATATAGATGAAAACTCTCTTTGTAAGTAGTGTGGTCTGCAGCTTATCATTAAGTATTCTAACTCAGGCGAGCAAAACCTTGACACTTCCTTAACGTTAGAGATCGCACACCAGCTGTTGTTAACAAAGAGACACCCCCCTCCCCCCTAAACCTACCTGACACTGCCGTACGGTCTTGACGATGCATAGTAAAACCAGCTAGATGTATATTATCCATGTCCTTGTTCAGCCATGACTCAGAGAAACATAGGATATTCAAGTTCTTCAGGTCCCGTTGATAGGATAGTCTCGAACAGAGCTCTTCCAGTTTCTTCTCCAGTGACTGTACATTCGCCAAAAGAACGGAGGGTAGGGGCGGTTTATTTGCGTGCCAATGTAGTTTCATCAGTATGCCTGCCCCTTCTGCGTAAAACGGCACTTCTGTCGCTAAAAGATAAAAGCAGTAGTTGAATTTGTACTGGTCCATTTTCAACATGTTCATTCAGTGTTTATGGGTACTCTACTGTAGTGTACAGTATGGCCTGGCTTGGTTTGTTGTGGGAGTGCCATATAGCCCCCACTGTGATCTAACCTGGTTAATCAGTACTTCATGCTGTTCTGACAACACCATCATCTGTTTACAATATCATCACACACACACACACACACACACAGAAAGATACAAGCTCACACACACAGCAGCTCAAACCTTAAATCAGGACTCACACTCACATTAATCTTGTGCAATGTTTCTGCTACACATAGATTTGGGTTTCAGAGTTAGTATTGGATCCATAAAGGTTTGTATCCTGCGGTGAGCTCTCCAATCCATGTTCTCTTCTTCCATATTCATTGATGTGATGTACTGACCCTGAGACGTATCGACCACCAGTCTTATTTGTTGAAGAGTGACCAGTGTTGGGGAAGCTACTCTGAAAATATAGTTTACCAAGATAGCAATTACTTCACACTGGAAGAATTTAAGCTACACTAAAGCTACCATTAAGAAATACAGTATATATTTTACTTAAGTAAAGTTACTTTGAAAAAGTAGTTCACTACGTCCAAACTACTTAGTGAAAAAAATATATCTAAATCTTAATTGTTATAGAATACAAATTGAAAAAACAGATCACTCTGTAGTCATATGTTAACAGACATGTGTAATGTATCATATTCAACACAAAAATTAGTGAGCATTAGGCAGGTCTGATGCCGAAAAAGAAAGGAATTGAATAAAAAATTTAAAAGTAGTGTGCTGTACACCACTACATGGCAAAAAAGTTATGAACTACTGAAAACACTACCAATATTTGAATTGAGTTCAACTACCACCAAGATACTGCAAAATGTAGTTAATTACTAGTTGAATTACATGTAGTTCACTACTCTCTAACACTGAGTGTGATCTAGTGGACACAAGCCTGTTTGCCGTCTCTGTTCTGCTAGTCTTCTTAGCTAACATTCCACTCAGGAGAGGGAAGGAGTGGAATGTTAGCTAAGAAGACTGGTACCCAGACTAAGTGGACAATACATATCTCAGGGCTAAGATATGATCTGATTGCATTATAATTTCCTTTAAAGACAGACCAAAACCCCAATTCAATCAACTGCAGATAAAGGGAAGCTGCCTGCACAGTGGGTTCACTAAGAATGTTCACACTGTATCACAGGTATTGATTGTAAATTAAACCTACCGACAGCAAGCTGATTCCCTCTTGCGGATATTGTCATCATTGGACATGATCAGTACCCTATTTCTTTAAATAAAAACCTAAGTACGAGTCTCCCTCATTTTACAGGTGCCTCGTTTTTCAGGTGCAGGGCAGAGAAGTGACAGTATTTAGCAGCTTTTTAATGTCTAGCGGAGGTAGTGTGGTTATAAAAATAGCTAAAGGGACTTCAAATGGACTAGAGGATGATGGTAGGACTTTCCTGGGAACATACACAACTGAGTGTTTCTGTCTCTACACAGCACCAGCTTTCAACTTATGTTGTCCTTTTCTGAGCTTTTGTCAAAGATATGAGGGATTCTGGTGTAGAATAACGGATACAGGGATGTGATCAGCACAATAATGAAACTAGGACGTACTGTAGGGGGTAATGGTTTTGGTGTGTGTTTGAGACAGTTTCACACACACACACACAAGGACCTCTGTTCTTCTGAGGATCAAAGTCAGTCAGAAAGGCTTTGACCAGTTCACTTCCGTTCAGCTCAGCTCAGCATTAATCTCACAGCCTATTGGACAGGAGAGAACAGCGAATCAGAGCATGGCAGGGAAACGAGGGGAAAGAGAAATGGACAGACATTTCACCTGCAGTCCTCTCCTATTCCTCCTTTCCTCCCTTCTTCTCTGCATCCTTGTTGCTAAGTCAGAGATAAAACTAATACCTTATAGCAGTCAGCGGTTTCTCAAATGGAGGGTCAGGACCCATTGGTGAGTTGCTGCTCCTTCCTATTTGCGGCTGATTCCTTTTGGGTCACAGCTTTAGACTTGGGTCTCTGGTTTTGTTTACTTACAATAACACATTCCCAAAGGTGACATTTAAAGAGACCGAGAGAGGGAGAAGGAGAGCGAGACAGTGAAAGGAGAGGGCAGAGAGGAGAGGGGCCCCAGTGACCCTGTGCTCAGTAGGAATCAGATATTCAGTGGTGCTCTCTCTTCTGTGTGCCATGACATTATAGGAGTGGAGCTGTGATGGAGCTCAGGGCCAGTCTCAAATCTCTGGGCCATGTGTGACAGATATACACACTGAGACTACTGCTGCTAGAGAGAGAAGAGGAGAGGAGAGGAGGGAGAGGAGAGAAGGAGAGGAGAGGAGTGGAGTGGAGTGGAGTGAAGGAGAGGAGAGGAGTGAAGGAGGGGAGAGGAGAGGAGTGGAGGGGAGAGGAGAGGAGTGAAGGAGGGGAGAGGAGTGAAGGGGAGGAGAGGAGTGAAGAGGAGAGGAGGGAATGAGAGATTAGGGAGTAGAGGAGAGGGCGTGAAGGAGGAGAGAGAGATTCTTTCCACAAGAGAAACTGACCCCAGCGTTTGAGTTGACAAGCTCTGCTCACCACAAGCTAATTTTCACCTTTCCTCTCTCCCTCCCTCCCTCTCTCCTGCCATTTGGAAAAAGAGTGCAGTGGAAATTGCTCCCCCGGAACCTGTGATATTTTTTAATGACACATCAGGGCCGATTGTCAAACGCTGGTGGGAGGGGTGTGTGTGTGTGTGTGTGTGTGTGTGTGTGTGTGTGTGTGTGTGTGTGTGTGTGTGTGTGTGTGTGTGTGCACAATGTGCGCACACAGCACTGGCATGTTGACGGGAGCTGAGTAAATAATATGCACTTTTCCTTCTGGAGTGAGGAAACAGAAACAGGGGGCTGGACATCGCTTAGAGCCAGAGAGCTAAGATAGAGAGTGTTTGAACGTTAATAATGGGTTTGTGTAAGACACATACGAGAGAGAGAGAGCGAGACAGAGAGAGAGCGAGACAGAAGAGACAGACAGAGACAGACAGACAGACAGACAGACAGACAGACAGACAGACAGACAGACAGACAGACAGACAGACAGACAGACAGACAGACAGACAGACAGACAGACAGACAGAAGAGACAGACCAGACAGACAGACAGACAGACAGACAGAGTGACCGACAGACACAGACATATTGAGAGACCGACGGAGAGCCAGACCGAGAGACAGACAGACCGAGAGACAGACAGAAGAGATAGACAGACAGAAGAGATAGACAGACAGAAGAGATAGACAGACAGAAGAGACAGACAGACTGAGAGAGAGAGAGAGAGAGAGAGACAGAAAGACAGACAGACAGACAGACAGACAGACAGATTGAGAGATCGACGGAGAGACAGACAGACAGACAGACAGACAGACATACATATTGAGAGACCGACGGAGAGACAGACAGAAGAGATAGACAGACAGACCGACATACAGACTGACCGACAGAGAGAGCGAGAGAGAGAGAGAGACAGAAGAGACATATGAGACAGACAGAAGAGACAGACATAGTGACCGACAGACAGACATAGTGAGCGACATACAGACAGAGTAACCGACAGACAGACAGAGACCGACAGACGAGACAGACAGAGAGACCGACAGAAGAGACAGACAGAAGAGACCGACAGACACACACAGACAGAGAGACCGATGGAGAGACCGACGGAAAGACCGACGGAGAGACCGACAGACAGAGAGACCAAGAGACAGACAGACAGACGAGACAGACAGAAGAGACAGACAGAAGAGACAGACGGACAGAAGAGAGACAGAAGAGACAGACAGATTGACAGACAGACCAACAGACCGAGAAACAGACAGACCGCGAGACCAAGAGAAAGACAGAAGAGACAGACCAACAGAAGAGACAGACAGCGACCGAGAGACCGACATACAAAGAGACAGAAGAGACAGACAGACAGAAGAGAGACAGAAGAGACAGACAGATTGACAGACAGAAAAACAGACCGAGAAACAAACAGACCAAGAGACAGACAGAAGAGACAGACCAACAGAAGAGACAGACAGAGACCGAGAGACCGACATACAAAGAGACAGAAGAGACAGACAGACAGAAGAGAGACAGAAGAGACAGACAGATTGACAGACAGACCAACAGACCGAGAAACAGACAGACCAAGAGACAGACAGAAGAGACAGACCAACAGAAGAGACAGACAGAGACTGAGAGACCGACATACAAAGAGACAGAAGAGACAGACAGACAGAAGAGACAGACAGAAGAGACAGACAAAAGTGACAGACAGACAAGAGACAGACCGACAGAAGAGACCGAGAGACAGACTGACCGATAGACCGACTGACAGAGAGACCGACCGTCAGAGAGACCGACAGACGAGACAGACATACAGACAGACAGAGAGACAGACAGACCGAGAGACCGACCGACAGAGAGACCGACAGACGAGACAGACCGCTTGTTGAGTGTGGTCTTAATGCCAACATCAGTTTGTGGTGATAAATAGACAGCTACAAAAAATATAGATGAAACCTCTCTTGGTTAGTAGTGTGGTCTGCAGCTTATCATTAAGTATTCTAACTCAGGCGAGCAAAATCTTGACACTTCCTTAACATTAGAGATCGCACACCAGCTGTTGTTAACAAAGAGACACACCCCTCCCCCCTAAACTTACCTGACACTGCCGTACGGTCTTGACGATGCATAGTAAAACCAGCTAGATGTATATTATCCATGTCCTTGTTCAGCCATGACTCAGAGAAACATAGGATATTAAAGTTCTTCAGGTCCCGTTGATAGGATAGTCTCGAACAGAGCTCTTCCAGTTTCTTCTCCAGTGACTGTACATTCGCCAAAAGAACGGAGGGTAGGGGTGGTTTATTTGCGCGCCAATGTAGTTTCATCAGTATGCCTGCCCCTTCTGCGTAAAACGGCACTTCTGTCGCTAAAAGGTAAAAGCAGTGGTTGAATTTGTACTGGTCCATTTTCAATATATTCATTCAGTGTTTATGGGTACTCTACTGTAGTGTACAGTATTACCTGGCTTGGTTTGTTGTGGGAGTGCCATATAGCCCCCACTGTGATCTAACCTGGTTCATCAGGACTTCATGCTGTTCTGACAACACCATAATCTGTTTACAATATCATCACACACACACACACACACAGACAGAAGAGACAGACACAGACAGACAGAAGAGACAGACAGAAGAGACAGACAGACATATGAGACAGACAGACAAAAGAGACAGACAGACAGAAGTGACCGTGAGACAGACAGACCGACCGACAGAGAAACCGACCGACAGACGAGACCGACAGACGAGACCAACAGACGAGACAGACACAGAGTGACCCACAGAGAGACAGACAGAGAGACAGACCGAGAGATCGAGAGACCAAGAGACTGACTGACAGACCGGGAGACAGACAGACAGACAGAAGAGACACAGACAGACGAGACAGACAGAAGAGACAGACAGACCGACAGACAGACCAAGAGACAGACAGAAGAGACAGACAGACAGAAGAGACGGACAGACCGACCGACAGACGAGATCGACAGACAAGACCGACAGACAGAGTGACCGACAGACAGACACGGGCAGACAGACAGACGAGACAGACAGACAGACGCACAGACGGCGAGACTGACTGAGAGACCAACGGAGAGACTGACGGAGAGACCGAGAGACAGACAGACGGTCCGAGAGACAGACACACAGACCGAGAGGCCAAGAGACAGACAGACAGAAGAGACAGACCGACAGACAGACTGAGGGACAGACGGAGATACAGACAGAAGAGACAGACAGACAGAAGATACCGACAGACAGAAGATACCAACAGAAGAGGCCGACAGGAGAGACAAAGAGACCAACGGAGAGACAGACGGCGAGACAGACAGACAGACAGACAGACAGACAGACAGAGAGACAAAGAGACAGACAGACAGACAGAGACCGACAGACAAAGAGACCGAGAGACAGAGAGACCGACAGACAAAGAGACAGAGAGACCGACAGACAGAGACAGAGAGACCGACAGACAGAGACAGACGAGACAGACAGAAGAGACAGACAGACAGAAGTGACAGACAGAAGAGACCGACAGAAGAGACCGACAGAAGAGACCGACAGACAGAGAGCCAGACAGACAGAGAGCCATACAGACAGAGAGCCAGACAGACAGAGAGCCAGACAGAGAGACCGAGAGACCAAGAGACTGACTGACAGACAAACCGAGACAGACAGACAGACAGACAGACAGACAGACAGACAGACAGACAGACAGATAGACAGAAGAGACAGACATACAGAAGAAACAGACAGACAGAAGAGACAGA